GATTGAGTCCCAAACAAAGAACGAACACACACTTACAGCTTTATAATATTAGTACGGTATATAATGATGTTTCGATTGCCAATATACTAATGCTGCCCAGGTTCTTTAATAAAGCCCTATAACAAGTACATTTGGATTTTTTAGCTAGAAGCAGTTAAGGTGTGGTGGAATATCTTTGAAGATGAACCTATTTGGCAGTAGTGTGATCATGTGTTCAGACCTGTCAAATTTTGAGGTTAAATAAAAACAAACAACGTGACATAATAATTCTTGGAATTGACAATAGTTAAATATACTTTAAACTTACTCTAGCCTACTTTTATATAACTACTTGGCAATATATAGAATATTTACTGTGAAATAGAGACGTGATTCCTAACTCCAAATCAGCTAATGAATAAGTTGATACTTAATTATTTTCTCTAAATTATAGGTGATGGTTGCTTTGATAATAGTTTATTATATGAGTTAGTATTAAAGTATTGAATCTTCTTGCATAAGTTAATTAATTTCGATCATTATATTAATAGAATAATATGGTTGCTGTGACTGGGATACACATAAAATAACTGTTGGGACATACAGTAATGGTGATTTACGTTTAGTTTTGAAATATCTTAACATCTAAATAGAATTGCCTTTTGGGTCATGTTAGAGATCAGAATTAAATACTCTTGAGATGACGAGATGAACCTTTATAGACTCGCGTTTTGACCCATTTAAATTATAATTAACAGTTAATTGTATTGCTGATAATTTATCAATGCAATCACTAATCAAATAAGTTCACCTCATACAAACAGGATAACATTATACGATAGGCAAAGGAAGCAAGATTCGAGTTTGGTTTATAAAATGCAGTAGCCTAAAAACAGATTTTTTTCTTATAAACTAAATAATGAAATATACTAAATCATTTCATTTGATCTTAAATGGCAATCCTTTCGTAAGTAATACAACCGGGCCTCTAAATGCTTAATTATTGATTGCCAACATGCCAGTTTGTTTGTTTTGATTTAACCTCAAAATTTGACACATAAAACACATGATCGCACTACAGCTAAATAGGTTCATCTTCAAAGATATTCCACCACACCTTAACTGCTTCTAGCTAAAAAAATCCAACTGTAGGTAAGAATATTTTTGTATATATACGCCTCACAGGCTAGACATATGTTCGAAAAAAATGTTCGATAATTTTAGCATTAGTATTGACTGTCAAACGCCGATACTTTCTTGGAAGCTCTGTTTTCTGTTTAGAAACTACTTTGCATCTACTTGTAGTGCATACAACACACGGCCACGCTCTCGTGTTGTTCTCCTCTCGCCACAGCTCACATTCACTTCACTCTCCTCACCCTCTCTCTCCTTCTCCCACCCCTCTTTACTCGACCACCCCTTTCTCCCAGCAAAATACCCGGTATAGTACTGTTGGGGAGAATAGGATTATGTCAGGTAGTCTTCTCCACTCGCCTCGACACTCTAATGACCCCTTAATTTACGAGTTCGATAAGCCGGGTCGCCAGCGCCCCTACACTCACATACGAGTACATGTCTGCTCCCGTCTCCCTAGAAATAGTACATATTTTGTTTCATTACTATTACTTTTTCTCCTATACTTAGTGTAGGCCTTTGTTGTTAAAGTATTGTTTTCGTCAAATTTTTGAAGTTTGAGTTTTGGGTGGATGTATTCTTTTTATGTCACCGACACAGAAATTTATACAAGACTCATCTCGGCTTAGACTATAATACGTACAACAAAAACCTCAATTCTACGCAATGTACAGACAAAACAGTATCCTTGTAGTGTATATTGTATTATAGTTGCTGGTTAGACGGCTCGTGGGAATGACCAGAGGTTCGCTCCTGGAAACCCTTCGGTTCAGCGACGACTGTAGAGCATGGAGATGCGTGAAATAGAAGATTACCTGGTCAAAGTAGGGCTGAGGCTGGTCGGTCACTGCTTACGTCATGACTGGGTCGTTGACAGCTAGGAGCCGTCACGTCTGTACTACGCACGACCAAATCATTACCTTCCGTTCGTCTGATGTGTAAACTGCTGTGGCACTTCCTACTGTGTAATAATACAACACGACAACTGCACTAACAATTACTGACACTGACACTAGGAAAACGTTTATCCTTTACTTTGTCCACTGTGACACAATCTTTGTGTCACTTTTTGACGTAATCTATTCCGACATTGTCGGTCACCGATGTAGTATTCAAACAATTATAAGCAAGTGTGCAGCAGCATTGATTTTAAATAGCTCAAGTGCACGTCATCCTTTTGTAAAAATCTGATTTGGTGTTTCACGGAAGGTTGTGCGCTGATGTTGAATAAACGATTTCCCCTTCGTTTGGGTAATTTTTTTCATGCTTCAGAGGTATATTTTATTTTTATGTTTAAAAGTTAGTGAAATAGCAATACTAGTAAATAAACACCAAACAACAAAAACATAACTAGTTTTCTTATGATGTTCCATATGAATGAAAAATCGCCATGGAGGGATTGTAAGTTTAATCTATGGTTGTAGACAATTTAATGTATGTTTGAGGTCTTCTCGTTTTACCTAATGTTATTATACTGCGAGTACTCTGGTATTTTAATCAAAGAATATATATATATATATGAATATATAACACTATTGATTGTTGTTGATTATATTTAATGGTAACGGGCATACTGTTGCATCTTCCAAAAATAGGAGATGCATATTTAGACAACATCAACGCACTACTCTTTCCCGCTTCAACACAAATGAAAACAAGGTTCATCTTCAAAGTTGTATTCGGAGTAACATAAAAGTTTAATTGGTTTGGATCACTTTGGATATATTTGACATTCTCCTCACTGCACCTTTCTCCCATCATTGAGACTTCGTGAAGTGAGCTCTTGAACTCTGTGATATTGTTTTACAATGTTAAGGCCCCGGAATGGTTTGCCTTACCTTCGAGGAATTTATTCACGCATTGATTCGTCTTAATTGTTACTTTTTATCCATTTATTGTGCTCATTTGACTATCAGTTAGTGACACAACTCATACTGTAGGTTTGTTTTAAAGCACGGGGATTGATGTTTTGTCTCGTACATGACTGATACAAACATCACTAGTTGTCTCAGACACGTCAAGTACAGCCACACCTAGAGACAAACACTTATGTCACCTTCCTTTGTCCTGGATCCGCTTCCTGGGATTTCAATGTTCAAATTAAGGACGCGCGCCCACATCTTTATCTCACGCAATCCATTCTCTTCCTTCCATTCATAACACTAGCGTAGTTAGCCTCAAGCTACGACTTTCTTAACATTGCATGGCTGTAGTTTATGAATGTAAAAATAAAATTTAAATAGTGAACTATTTTAGGTTGTTCCTTTATGTATAATGGCTGGATTCAGTCTCTTAGTTCTTTAGTGTCTTCGCCAGTTTATTTTCAATGGAGCAACAGAACTTCTAAAGAGGCCCAAAACCATTAACCCAAAATTGTAGATGTCAGGGCTCGAATCCACCGTTCTCACACCGGAAACCAACGCTAACCGGACTCCCAAATTGCTACATTATGCCGCTCCTTGTTGAAGTTACGCCATAACTAATAGTTTTTAAGTTCTTGCAGCAAAAAAGTAGTTCGTCCTTTGATATTATTTTAATATTTATAAATCATAAAAAATGCTAATGAGCCCAAAGTTTATGGAAGAATCGTCGACGGTAGGAAACACAGGATCGGAAATAGGAACAGACAACCGGTGAAAGGTGGAAGCATAATTTCTTGAGGAGCTGATGGTTACATTTGCTGCGGCAAACCCGAGGGTTTATGATTGTTGCGTTGGCATTACGTCACCGCGCGTTTCAGGTGATTGACCAGCTGATAGGCCGGAAAAAGCCGCCGCTTATCGTCTTACGGTTTTTGGCGCGTGCGAATGTCAACTGTCAATAGCTATTTTGTGTGCGGTACTGTATTAAAAGGGCAAAGTACATCATTGCCGCTAGCTGAGTGCGACCATACATTTTGAGAGTGGCAATAATTGTTTGTGCTCGTAATATAGGCTACACAAGATTTTTCCTACCACCACTATCTTTATACTGAAAAAATGTTTGCTTGTATATAAAATGTCTTTTTAAACGTTGTTTGTTTTTTAGGTTATGTTATTACCTGCTTGTTAATGTACACGATCCGCTGAAATCAGCTGATTAGCGTAAATGAGCTGTTTTGCGTACTGTTTGCAGGTGTAGCAATATGATCATTTCCATGCAGTGGTAGGAAAAATATGTTGGGAATCGTGACAGATTAAGTAGGTAGTAACAAATTGTTGCCTCAGAATATTTTGTTACCAATACAAGACTATGTTACAACCAGAAAGAGTAAATACAAAACAATATACCAAAAAAGCACAATGTTAACTATAATTTTCTATACTTTCAACTTGCACATTCATTCTTTAGTCACAAGTCAATCATCAACATGATGTAGTATCTCAGGTACCGGTACTACCATTGGCTTTTATAGCATACAAATAGACATCCTCTGGGTCACCTAAAAGGATCAGCTATAGCCAATGATAAAAAAAATGAATATAGCTGAATAAGCAATTCCTAGTGTCCTATTGATAATTTTTGTTAAATGAGACATGAACGATGTCATAGTGTACAATAAGTACTGTAGTACTCAATTAATTACTCTCAATAATTTGTATAGGTTGAAAAGTCTGTAGGGTGCTAAAAAAGAATATGTCCAAACGTTTAAACAACTTTAACGTGTGTTCGTTTTATTTTCTGAAAGCTGCTACAGTTGTATGCAAATTAGATGGTTATTTCTATCAATAATCAAAGGTGTCAGGTACCACCCTTCAGACACTCCTTCCTCATCCAAAACTTTTATTTATCGTACCTCCAACGCCAATCTCCTAAAAGAAAATTTTTTGAACTCTTAAGTCATCCGACATCCATCAGAGGATTATTATATTGCTGCATTTACTAAAAAAACTTCTATTTCCTTGCAGAAGATGGGTTGTGGAGTGAAGTGTGTGGACAATCTCCTGACCCGGAGTTTCTACAAGCTCGGAGTCCAGATCGGCCACACTCCCGGCTACTTCCTCATCATCCCCGTGCTGTTGACACTCCTATGTGTCACCGGTTACCACCAGATACATTACCAGATGGACCCCGAGTATCTGTTCAGTCCACAACAAGGTCCAGGCAAGACGGAGAGAGCCATAGTCGAGACATACTTTAAAATGAACTACACCAGTCGATTCAATCCAACCCGAATCACCAGGCCAGGTAAGGGTTGAGAGTGTTTAAATAGTTGATAGAGATTCTATGGGAATTGGTTATGTTGTCAAAGAGGTCACTAAAGTTACATGTAAATAAGTGTTGTGTGTTTTGAAAAATTGGATATTGAGAAAATTATGAGAAGGAAATAAGTTAACTTTTTGATTAGAATCATACATTTTAGTGCTGTTTTACAAGTGAAATAAAACTTTCTTAAACATTTCTTGAGACCATTTACACGCATACAGTAAACCACCTCTCAACCGGACTCCTTTGGGACCGAGGCCAGTCCGGATAGAAGTTTTTCAAGTTAAATCGACATCCCCTAATTGCCACAGGAATCACTTGAAAACTAACCCAAATATTTTACTTAAATTTGGGAGAGCCTTAGACATGTGATCAGTGGTCTCAAATCTTTACCCAGAGAAAATTCATTTCAGTACCGGACACTTCCTGCCGATCCAGTCCAGTTAAACAAATGTGTTGATAGGTAGTCACTTCTGCTGAGTGCTGAGTGTAGTCCGGTCAAACCAATCTATACATTGTCTTGTACATATTCATATTGACATTACAAGTGTAAATGTATTGATAGTGTAAAAATATGTCTTTTATTTTATGAAAATTAAGTTGAAATGTGTATTACTTTTAATAACGGCAAGTGAGACCTGATAGGCAACAGGCAACTATCAACTCTTTGGAGAGGTATATTGATTTTCATAACAATCTAATGAAATTAAATGGAAAACCCAGGATACAAACATATCTAGGCCATAAGAAGAATGTATTGTTATTTTAACGAATGCTATGAACAATGATAGATACAAACACTGAGTTATGTATGTGATGAAACAAGCATTTATCATTAGTAAAGAGTAAAGACTATGATTAGGTAAAAGAGAAATAAACTTCTTCTATTGATTTTAATTTTCTTACTCTTAATGTGTTCTTTTACTTCCATTATTTTCCCCAGCACTTTATCTCTAAAAATATACATCTAACATAAGCAATGCCAATGGCGTAAAACTAACAGAATCTTTCATTCTAGGTCGGTTTGGAAGAGTAATTGTGATACCAAAGCACGGCAGCAACATGTTGTCAGTAGAAGTGTGGAAGGAACTGCGAGTATTAGACGGAATCATCAAGAACGCCACCATAGTGTTTGGTGAAGAGCAACGAAGCTATACATACGAGGACATCTGCGCTCGATGGGTGGACCACTGCTTCGAGAACGACATTCTCAATCTTGACCACATCATGGAGGAGGTAGGAGAGAATATGACTGATTTTATCAATATTAGAAATAAATCCATTAATCTTTGCTGATGTGCTGATGAGCATAGCAAAGATATCTCTAGAGCAAGGAATGATTTCAGCTGTAAAGAGCCATGAATAAAGTTTGCTTAACATAAAAACGTCACTAGTTTGATTCTGAGAAACGTAAGTAGTTTTCTTAATGGTTTGAAACCAGATATAGCTGTCCATGATCATGGAGGCTTTAAAATGGTCCTGGTTACGAAACAGCTGGTCTCAGTCTGTAACAAAGCTACACAGGTTTTCTCACTCCATTCTACACTTATTCATATTTAACTAAAAATATGCAGTCAATTGTGCGCTACCTACGATTTCTGTCTTAAAAAATTGTAGATATTACTATACTTGTGTGGAATTTATTTAAGGACTATAAAAAGGTGTGTTATCACCATTGATTTTCATAAAGCATTGTTCCACAGGTAGTCAACAAAACGCTGAACCTAACATTTCCAATAATGTTCAACCCAGTGACGTGGGACGCTCACACATTCCCAGTCTACTTCGGAGGTACGGTGGTGGACGATGACGGCATCATCATCAGCGTACCCTCGCTGCAGCTAGCCTACTTTGTCAATGCAGACACTAAGACACAGGATGCAAGGTACAGATCCTTGGTAGCAAACATCTCTTGATAACAAACACACAGAAGTTTACTTTTTTACAAAATATATTTTCATCAACTTTAATATTGAATATGATGCTAAAAACATGTTAACTAAATAATATTGTTTACGAATGAATGTATGTCCATGTCCTGTAGTATTTCTTTTAACTAATTCACGTACAGTATTATGGTAACTACTTCAATTTAATCATTTTTCATTTTTTATAAATAAAAACACATACTAATTGAACTAGAATCAGTCAATTTAGACGATTAAAACATGTTAGATCTGGACAGTTAACTTGAGAACTGGAGGAAAAGTGGTTTAGGGATTCAAACAGTTCAATGGTAACAGTATATAAGTTTATGATAAATATCATTCATTTTAAATGGAACAACATATGTATACAGAAGGTTATATGAGTAGTTTAATCATTGAGAGGATGAACCATTCCAGCCAGCTCAGGTTGTGCTGTTTATTCCCCCAAGTTTCCTGGGTCAAGGTTATTTGACACACTTAACTACAGTTAGCCTTCTGCCATTTCAGCAAGTTTCCATATCTGGACTTTATAATGCCGCCAAAACTTGAGATTGTTTTATGAAAAATTACTTTCTAGTATTTAGTCAAACTCATTTCATTTATTGTGTACACTAATTAATATCATTTATACGTGAACTAAGACAAATATGTCGCAAAAGGTATGAAAGCTGGATATACAATAATACATCTCAATAAAAAGACCTCTTGTGAAATCAATATTTTTTTTGTGTTTTACGCCATTGGAATTTAAATTTAAAAACATGTTTTATGGTAATGGTTGAACCTCTTCATATCTGAAGAGGTAATGAAATAATTAAACTCACTATCGTGTCATTAATTAATTGATAGAGGAATGCCATGGTATGGGTCCAGAAAAGATAACTATTAGAGTTCTATTATTAGCGAATTTCCCTATAGGGAAGTAGCTATTACCGTAGGTGGCACGGTAAGACCTAGACCCGGGACCGATTTACTTTTTCATTTTGATGTCCCCAGAGGCCAAAAACACCATTCGTTCAAATTTTTATATATGTATATATATATATATATATAGACTTATATATATATATATATACGTCCGTGAACGCGATAACTTGAGTAATTTTTGTCCGATTTTGATGAAATTTGGTTTAAAGGTGTAAAGCGGGATAAACTTGAATGAGTTCGCGAACCAGCACGATCGGACCATGGGAACGGGGCTTTACGGGGGGTTTTATGGGGTAAAAATTGGTTTTTCTCACTTTTGACCCTCAAAACACAAAATTTTCCGATTTCTCTTTAAGCCTTTTTAAAGAGCTTAAAAAAACAAATAATTTAGTATATAAAAGTATTTTTGTTCGATTGTTAGTAACGGAGAAAATTTAAAAAATTGTAAATTTAAAATTCCCATGTTATTCTTATGGAGAATATTGTCAAATGTTGTAGTTTGCTTGTTTATGGATATATTTTGATTAAACTTGGCAAATTTATTTATTTTGTACTAAGCTATCAATATTTTACTCAAAAACACACTTTATTAGTTTCCTTGTAGCAGCAAACCTAGGTACTCGTTAAACCTAATGTTATTAAAATATATTTAACTGAAAATCAATTCAGACAAATGGAAATTCGCTTAGTCGGCAGGTTTGCTGCTGCGGGGGTATTTTTTTTATTTAATCATCAGGATTATTTTAAAACTGTAACTATATTTATTGAAAATTATGCTGTTTAAGGTTATCCAGGGAAAATATTTTGATTATTTCATAAGTAAAGTAGTAATAGTAAAAATTAACCCTTCAGATACACTCTTGATAAAAAATTATGTTTTAATCGTAACTTGGTATTAATTACAATTTTTTTTGTCGGATCAAATGGATTGTAGTTTGTTATCATTAAAATATATTGCATTTTTATTTTTACAATATAATGTAAATTGTATTAGATTTTTGTTTTTTCCCCTTGCTGACATATACAAGTCACATCGCCAAGCCATAAGTGACTGTGACAGGGGAATGTTGACCCAGCTATCAACCATTGAATTACCAAAAACTAAAATAAATGTATGTTTAAAATGAAAACCAAGTGGCTAGATATGAATTTTTTGAGCAATAGATTTCAGCTAGCTTATCTGAGAAAAGTATATTCCACCGGCTACTAGTAGATAAACAAAAATAAGATCACAAAACATAAAGTTGATATTTCGTACAAAATGTAGGACTTCTTTAGCGAGAAGATTTAAAGAGAGATTTCAGTTTAAATATAAACTGGAGTACAGTAAATGAGTAATTAAATCAATTTATGAGATTAGAACATAGAGAGAGTTTATAGCTCTTATCGTTGATATACAAGCAATTTTTATACTTATTGATATTTGTAAATAGAAAATGTGAATTATTTCATTTGTCTATGTTCAGAGGAGCAGTGTGGGAGGAAGCGTTCCTAGCGGCCGTAGGTAAAGCTGAGGACTCCGGAATGTTCAAGTACATCTCAACGGCTCGCTTTGCATCTCGAACTCTAGACATTGAACTGGAGAAAAACACTCAGGGAGTCGTTCCGTTCTTTGGCTCAACATTCGTCATCATGGCTGTGTTCAGGTGGGTCTTTGTTGTATGCTTAGTTATGTGGAATTACAGACATACATTTTGCTATAAGTCAGTTTATAGGTTATAAATATTGAGCTATATACTTTATGGATTTTTTACTTAAGCATAATTTGGAATAATGTGCAATGAGTCAGGATTCTAAGTGTAAAATATTAAGTAAGTAGGCATAGTTTGATGGCATTGTACCTCTGTACTCTATTTCCTATTTGTTAAGTTTATTTTGGTCAAATCCTCAACGCTGAACTGAATAAATAGCATGGATTTGATGTTTTATAATAAGCCAATTCAACTTTTAACCATACACTTCTAGTATTTTTAAGTACCGGTATGGATTTGATTTTGTTTTTTGAAAAAGCTTACGAGACACTACAACTACTGCAAATACAGGACATCCTGATACTTTTGTTTTTGTTTTCAAGAGGTTATCAGCCTCATTTAACCTTGCATTAGCCTGTCCACTGATTTCAGACCTGAGCATGTAAATTATCAAGCAAAGGGAGGGAGGGATGAGTCAGTACAAAAACGAACTATACTGATAAATATTAGAGGCTGAAACAGGGCGCGACCCATCACATCGCTGCCATGGATATTAGCCTTAACACACTACCTACCAATGTTTGGCCAACATTTGGTCAAAGTTAGCACTGTACATTCATCGATAAAAATACTTTTTGGAATAGTCGCTTTTCCTTGGTTTATTCTTGAGCTATTTAATGTAACCAATATGATAAATTCTTGTGACAAATCCTCCAAAGAATTGACACACAGTGAGAACAAAACTGACTCTAAACACTTTATGTTTTAGAGTACCGTACCTAAAATGAATATATATTATTTTACAGCATAAGATGAAATGATGCAATTATCTTTGTATCTTTGACTAATTAACCTAATTGACTGTGTTGTTGCAGTGTCCTGACATGTATGATGGTAGACTGGGTCCGGTCAAAGCCTCTGTTGGGGTTGCTGGGTAATGTGTCGGCTGCTATGGGCACAATCGCAGGCTTTGGTCTGGCTATGTACTGCGGCATTGACTTCATCGGTATCAACCTTGTATCTCCACTACTCATGTGCAGTGAGTAGAAGTTTTATATCAACTATCAGTGTGAATAGTTGTGTTTGATGTTTGGAATTGGGAAATGAAAATACCACACTATCATAGACATTTAGGGCGGAGTAGCTATTAAAAAACAACATGCTTGAGAAATCTCATGTAGATGTTAAATTGATATAGATGATCTTAAAAGAAAAAAATTACAGACATTACAAATTGGTTTCTTAAGGAACAGTTTACAATGTACAGTGCAGAGTATGTAAATTATTAGTAAACTATTCCTTTTACTTGATGAATTTTTATATGAAAATTTGTATCTACTGTAATAATAAATTTATTGATAAAGAAAATCTTGCAAAGGACTCATGTAAAATCCCAACATTATATAGTTCCCTGTAAATTACATATGCTTAGTCTCCACACGTAATTGCTTTATTTAAGAGTATTTATTTAATTAATTAAGTACCTTAGTTGTAGTTATTTTTCAGTTACTCTGATAAAACAATATTTTTCTAATGAACATTAAAATATGAAAAAAGTGTTAGTGTGTGTATTGCTGTCCTCACTACTGATTTTCATTTGGATGAGCTAAAACTCACTTAAACCACTCACTTATACCATAAGTATGTCTTTAAAGGTTGCAGGACTGTTTTTCAATATTAAAAAAAAGCCAGTTGAGTTCCGTGGTTGACCCAGATTCAAATTGTAGTAAGGATACAGTACGGACCAAATGAAGGGTTCAAACATACAATCAAGTGTGAAACAATCCAAGGTGACTCGTCAATAAGCAATTAGTCCAGAACAGCAGAATTGTCCTCTACCTGTACCTGGTGTTTGACCTGCATAGGTCTACTGCTCGGCTGTCATTGGTTGCAGATGAAGACTTAAAACTTATATAGATTAAACTAAGCACCCAAGAATACCAAATAATAACTGTATAACAATTTAACTGGTTGGAGTGAAATGATAGGTTCATAAAAGTATATTTTTCATTTGTCCGAGTATAAAGGCAAACATAAATCACAGATATGGATTTATTTGTTAGTATTAATAATATGAGGGATGTATGTAAATTAAGGTCTCCATCGAGCTCACGAGGCATCCTGAAGCAAGATAGTTAAAATATGAGACCAATAACTGATGTTTAATTTACTTCATCTTCTGCTGTTATTGCCGGTTCCCACCCTTATGGGGGCGATTAGTCTTGTCATAATGCTTGAAAATGTTTAGAAAGAAAACTTTTCCCTTCAAGTATAACTTGTGTTCTCTGATTAGCTTTCTGTAGGAAGAAATCCCATGTTGATTAATCTTTCTGTACGTCAAGGAAAGTGTTTTGGTGTAGAAATTGTACATTAGTGGTTTAGGGGGTCTGCAAAAGGTCAAACACAATTGCACAACAGGGCCGGCACCAGGTGATCACCATTTCTATTGAGACATTGATTGGGTTTTAGGATACTTCGTATGCTGATTGATTGACGTGTTTCAGACTTTCAGGGCTGACTATAGTGGGTTGACAGTTTTTTTAAATTTATGTTCTAACATGCTAATTACCTCTAACTTTGTTCACAGCTTTTGTTTGCTCGTTTGAAGTTTCAAACGAGATTGTTGAAATTTGATTAAATCTAATCAGAGTATGTGATTTATACTTGACGGAAGTGACCATTTTCTTTCAAAATGTTTTCAAATACTATGACAAGACTAATCCTCCCATAGAGGTGGGAACCGGTTTGAATATTAGAAGATAAAGTAAAGTAATGTTGTTGGTCTTAGTTTTTAACTAGGTATAACTAGCTTTTTGCAACAGGAGCACAATGGAGACTTTAAATAACAATCAACAATATATAAGTCACCATCACTGTTCCTAATGCTAATGCTATATAGCAGGTAGAGATAAATGCAAAGTATGTGCAAAGTAGATAAATTACACATTTGCGATGGTCGTTTGCTGCTAGGCAATGCTCTCCATCAGTACTGATGATCTTGTATTGCAGATATGTAATGCTGATGATGTTGTGTTACAGGCATAGGTATAGATGACACATTTGTGATGCTGGCTGCTTGGCGTCGCACACCAGTCACCATGTCTGTTCCTGAGAGGATGGGTCACACTATGTCAGACGCTGCAGTTTCCATTACCATCACAAGTGTCACTGACATGGTCAGCCTCTGGATAGGAATGCTTAGTCCTTTCCCCTCCATACAAATCTTCTGTCTCTACTCAAGTGAGTGAAAACATTTGATGAATTGTTCCTTCATAAAAAGTTTAAGTTGAAGTGGGCTTAAATGTTTCGGTATTTTGAAGGCAGCATTTTCAAACAAAGTGATATAAAGTCATGAGTATTTAAATTAATAGTGATTACCGGTACAAGAATATGAGCCAATGGTGTTTTTGTTACGAACTTTCTTGTTTTTATGAAATAGGTGTAAATACCTGCTTCATAGTAATCCTGGTTGTTGCTACAAAGTCATCTTCAGACGTCAGCGGATCCAGAGGGGGGGCAAAGGGGGCGACCACCCCCCTCCTCGGGCAAACATATATATATATATATGTAATACAGTAGTGCATACACATTGCGTAAAATAATTGACACACTAACTTTGGAGACAGAAATAGTATAAAACTGCCATTTTGGAGACATAGTTTACACGAATTTTTTGGGGGTTCCCCCAGAACCAGTGGTTTGCCCCCCATCCCCTTGTGACTGTTCTAGATCCGCCACTGCGTCAAATATGTCAAAAGGGTGATCACTTCATACGAAGGTCGTCGTTACACACACAGTACAACACACAAACATGAACACAGACATTAAAATTGTAAAAACGGTACATTTACAACAATTAAATGGGAACAAAAACGGTAACTGCAGTGAAGGAATGTGTGTCACGACCAGATGGATGCAAAGTCTAGACTTTGTGTATCAACTCTAGACTTCAGACATACACTTCAGATAGATGCTAAACTTTGCGTCTGAAGATGACTTTTAGAAAGTCTAAACTAGTTGCGACGCTAGCAACAACCAGGATTAAGTTACCTTGAAGCAGGTATTTTTACACCAGTATCATATATTCAACATAATCCAGAGGCCAACAAACAAATTTCTTGTTTTGGTTTCTGACACAAAGCTGTCAGTGGCTGAGTTTCCTTTGCAACATAGGAATTGAAACTCTTTTTCAAATTATCCATATAACCCTCACTCGATATACTAAAGCATTATAGCTTATTGTCATATTAACCGCATGGTTTGTGATTCTAATTGATGTTTTTGTCACAGGTTTTGCTGTAGGGTTCATCTTCCTATGGCACATCACCTTCTTTGCAGCCTGCATGGTTTTGGCTGGATACGCAGAACATGACAACAGACACTCTATTCTTTGTATCAAAGTCAAACCAGTCTCTCTGTCAGGTAAGTTATTTCTCGCTTACTAAAACGTTACTGAATTGTCCAAGACTACAATTTGTTTGTGATGTAATTCACAGTAAGAATTTAAGATAAAAAGCATAACTACATGTAGTGATCCAAAGGGACAAAGAAATGTTTATTTAGACAGAAAGTTAGGGCCAAGCAATTTTTTCTTTCCTGTATCAAGTGTGCAAAAAGGTTAAATATTTAATTGGAGGGTGGATTTGTTGTAAATCAGTAAGCCGTATGGGTTTATAAAATATGGAATGTGAAATAAGCACAGATTTTATACAAACAAAAATCATCAACACTTTTTTACAAGTTTCATAAATTTATTTTACAAAACTTAATCATTGGACGGAAAACATCATTAGATTTTTTTACATAAACAAAATAAATATTCTTTAAGCTACCTACCAATCCTGTTTGGTTACAAATATTTGCAGCCAAGCAATCTGTATCAATTGTTGTAAATGTAGTGAACAAAACGGTCATCAGTCTTCTTTTTATACGCAGAGATATTATGTTGCTGCCGGTATCTGATCTTAAATTAACATATAGATTTAATGGTCGCCATTTCATTGAAAAGTATTAAAAGTATTTATCTGGGTTGTGAAGGTTGTAATTTCCTGGAAAGGGCAATGTTCACTATATGGCTCAATGTCTCCACAGTCATATTACTGAGCCTCTTTCTACTTAAATTTCCCATAGTTGCACCTAGCCAAATCAATTTCAAACTGGTTTTACTATGTTTTATGTGAAAGTTTCACCAAAATGGTTTATTTCATTTCTTGAAGCAGTCACATTGTGCAAAGATCCTTTTTGAAGTACCCCATCCCTCTTAATTCGCGGGGCAATTCAAGATAACAGTTTGACGGTTGGCGAGCGTGACCCAGTCAACCAGGTGTGGTAACACTGAACTAGGCCCAGAACAGCTGATTAGGTGTGACAGTTCCGGCACGGCATTAGCCGCGCTGGCCCGCCACAATGGCGAAAGCAATGATATAATTCTTTATAATCTTGGATTGACTCATTGGCTCACACGTACATGTCTCTTGTCATGAGGTTCAGGAAAAAAGAGATTTTGAGATCAATATGATTGTACTAGAACGTTTGAAAGATTACAAAATATACTTTGTTGAGTAAGTACTAAACATAATTTTTACGGTATCTTGTTTACTAATCATAGTAGTACTAATCATCCTAACATAGTAGGTTGTCCTATATAAATACCGTATTTAAGTGGTTACCTATGTCTGCTGTTGACCAAGTTACCAAGTTTTCAATAATAAAACATACCTCTTCTAAAGACATTATTGAAGTAATAATTTATTAAAACTCTTAAGTCTGAATCATTAAAATGCAACATTTAACATTGATAATGGTACAAAACACAGCTTATGGTGATCTCTTAATAAGCACTTATAATTTAGTTTCATATCTATCTATATAAATAAAATTAGAGTTTTGTCTGTACATTGCTTAGAATAATGAACTTTTTGGTTATTTTTACATTTCATAGGTCAGAGAAACCGAATCAAACCTTATCTCAATTTCTGTCTGTCTGTCTGTCTGTCTGTCTGTCTGTCTATCTGTCATTCTCTTGGTAACGCTAAAATACGCACTTTATTACAACTACTCCTCAATAACTATAGCACTGTCCCGCCTGAAACTTATTTTCCAAATACTATACATATATGAGATGGTTTTAGACGTATTTCATCGAATATGAGACAGTTAGATATTTAACAGTAAACCCTTAAAAATCAAGTTTTTGTCGATTTTTGACGTGGAATTTCTGGAAGCCCATGTTAACCTTATGAGAAATGAAATTATTGAATCTTAACAGCTGTTTCAATTAAACAAGTTGGTTCTGTTCTGTGATGTTCAATAGCATTAAAGTTACAAGGATTACCAACAGGGTGCAGCACTAGCACTATTATTTCTTTTACATTTATGACAACAGCTAATTTGCAACCTGGAGGCGAGTGAGCGTAGCGAACGAGCTAACCTGAAGGCAAGTGAGCGTAGCGAACGAGCTAACCTGAAGGAAAGTGAGCGCAGCGAACGAGCTCCAACATACAGGTGAGTGAGCGTAGCGAACGAACTTCAACCAGGACGTGATTGAGCCATGCAAACGAGATCAGATAGTAAAAATAAAAGTAAGCCTACCGTTATAGGATCGACCGGCAGACACAGAGGTAATTTAACCTTTTATTGATTGTCATACCGATCCGGAACAACAAAAAACAACATAAAATGAAGCTATGTATAATAGTTTGGCCAGCATATCTTAAAATATGCAAACCAACTGCTGTTCGTTATATAAGAAGGTTTCAACTGAATATTATAAGATCCCCGTGCGTAGAACGGGTACACAGCTAGTCTCTTATATTAATACCTGAGGGCTGTTTTTTGTGAACAAAACTCCTCCGTTATTTCTGGGCCGATTTGAATGTTTGAGGTGTCAAATAATTCGTCTCAATTCGTAGTTTTGCATAAAGGTTTTATAATTTAAAAACTCTTACCCTTAAGGGCACGAGACACTCTCAAAGGTCGCATTTTCCCCATAAGAATTACATTAAAAACAAATTTAAAAACAAAAACAGCTGTATATAAAAAGAATCTCGCCAGCTTTTTGGGAGTAAATATTGATGTTTGTAATATTTAGGAGGTTATAGACAGATCGAAACAGTCAATCAGTTTTGATGAAAGAACAGACAATTTCTTGAGTTTAAAGGAGAAATATTGAAAACAGGAGGAGGAGACAATTAATAAGAAGTCTTATACATATGAAAAGAGTAGAGGAGAGGCCTGGTCTCACAGTTCCTGGTGATATCCGCACATCATATATACACAAACTTGGGGAGATGAGTCATTTTTGCCAGTTATGCTAAGCGACTTATTTTGGAAGTAAAAAAAAGAAGAATATACACATCATGTTGTCACAGTGTTAAAGTAAACCTACCTAAAGTCAGATCAAATAAATACATGCAAGAAATGTTTACTGGTAACAGCTTTAAGTCGGGAAACATTTGTAGAAAACACTAAAAAATAAGGCAGGGTCCAAAAAATGCTAAAATATTTTTACAAGAAAGAAGCGTTTATAATTTCAAAGCGCTATTAAATAGTGTGATTATTTCAGTTAGTTACATAAGCATTTAGTCGGGTCTTTTAAACTCATCGAAAACTATGACTGTTATTACTGTAGTTTTAAGATAACTTCTGTATAATTACCGGTACTTGAGAATTGCTCAATTTCGAGCAACAGGTAACAACACTAGTATTCAATAATAAACGTTTCCCTCTATTAAATCTATTTACAACAGATTAACTTGTGTTATAGGTAAGGCATCTTGCTTGTACCGCATATTCTGCACTGGAGGGATCAATCCTAAGGACCCTGACAACCCAAAGGACAACCCCGACAATGCCATGATGGTGTTCTTTAGAGATTCTGTGGCTTGGTGTGTTAACCAGTGGCCCTTCAAGGTAGGTTCAATAGTTAAAAAGCTCAAAATTCAAAAGTTCAAATTCAAAAGTGTTCTCTTTTGTCATTTCTCACTTTTTTTTCAGATAAACTAAGAAACTAATAAATGTAAATTATTTAATAAAAAATTTAACAAATTTAAGGTGTTTTTACCATTTTGCTTTGTCATTTCCCACTTTCAATCACAATAAAAATGTAGCTTTAAATAGTTGTCATGGGAATCCTAGTGGTTGTAGTGCACGCCTTTAAATCTGAAGGTCGGTGGTTCGATTCCAATCGATATCGTTTCCAGACCAAGATGGCATTTGTCATTGGGGTATGAATTAATGATGCTATCTAACAAAAAGACCGACTTATATAGTAACAAGACCAGGGATTTGACTGTTTCCTTTCAAAACGCAAAAAAATCTATTGTCGTAGAAAATGCACACAAAATAAAAAATAGATAGGTGACACACACTTATTTGACATACTTTTTCAGGTAATAGTCCTGTTGGTGTTTGGAGCCTACATCAGTGGAGCTATATACGGACTGACTACTCTGCAGGAAGGGCTGCAACGGAGGAAACTGTCCAGAGCTGACTCCTACTCCATTGAGTTCTATGATCGAGAGGACTTCTACTTCAGAGAGTTTCCTTACAGAATGCAAGTAAGTTTGAGAAAATGTAAGAATTCTGCAGTGCAATGTTATTTTATACTTACCTTATTCTTTTGTCAAATAAGACAAATTGTCTTTGTTCATGAACAAAATGTGTAATAAATCAAATTAATATGTTTGTATAATTTTTAATAAACTACTTGTTTTTTAAACTACCAATACCAATATAAATTAGAACCCACATTTTCATGTTTAACTACTTGTTTGTATTGTGTAATATTAGAAGTTTTTAAGGCTTATGAAGCTTGAACAGGCCAGAATTTAATCATGTTTCAAAATATTCTCATCCAAATTTATTTGCTTAAAACGTAGATTTAGTTTCTAGAAAAATCCAAAGTCCAATTGGCAAGACCAAAGATTACCATAATTAACGCTTTGTTTTGGTGTCCTGAGAAGCCAAAAACACCATTAATCAAATTTGTGTATACTTTCTGTCTATGTGATAACTATAGCTAGAATATAAATATTTTATCAAACAAGTAAACTAATTAAGTTATATTTGAACAAGCTCTAAAACCAACCTGAACCAACCTTTGAAAAATGTCTTTGGTACATCAAAGTTTTCTGTTATTGTAGATAGTAATTTTTGTCTATCACGATATATAACACATATGAATCAATCAAGTTACATAAAAAGCTAAATAACTTAATATCAATTGCAGGTGATCCTCTCAGGTGAGTTGAACTATTCCGATCCTCTGATCCAAGATCAAATTGAGAACTTGACTCGGACATTTGAAGCGTCTCCGTACATCTCGACTCCTCTTTACACAGAGTCTTGGCTGCGGTCCTTTGTTAGCTACGTGAAACGCAACCAAGACTACCTCAATGTCTCCATTGATACAGAGGACAGCTTCATAAAAACACTTAATGAGGTAATATATTTTAAATTTTACACTCAATTTCTTCCTATTTCATGGAATAGAATGAGTGTTGTTGACCACATGAATTAAAGGTATACTCAGTTTACTTTAGTTTGGTTTCATATATAACTATGGTTGAACTTTTATTACTTGGAATGTAGAAAATAGATTTTCTTTATCTTTGGCCGTTATTGGAATGGTTAGGAAGAAAACATGGTTAATCTTATTTACAGACAAGAGACAATCCTGACCAAGAACACTAAGAACCAGTTGTCTAGTCAGGCCCGTTTTTGACCCTGTCGGCGCCCTAGGCAGAAATAATAGTAGCGCCCCTTTTGCAATTATACAAGGTATCCACCAACGCGGATAACCGGGAATCCGAGAATTATGCTTGGGTTTTTTTTTACTGGGAATTATGCATGAATTATGTATATCCACCTGAAATTTTCAATTTACCGCCATCGCGAATGACAACAGTGATGTTTCCGTGACCGCGGGAGGCGACAATATGTCTACACACGGCCGCGAGGGATGATTAGAATATTGCCACGATCACGGAAAACGATGATAATGTCCACACGACTGCGGGAATGATTAACATTTTGCCGCAATCGCGGGAAACAATAATTGCAATGTCTTCACGGCAGTGGGAGACGATTACGATATCTACAGGACCACTGGAGATACAATAATGATTTCTACATGGCCGCGAGGGATGATCAGAATGCCGCGATCGCGCAAGACGATGATAATGTCCACATGGCCGCGGGTAAAGATCAGAATTTTGTCGCAATCGTGGGAGGCGATTACTATGTACAAATGACCGCAGGGAACGATATAATGATGTCTTTACGGCCGTGAGGGGTGATCAGAATTTAACGCGATAGTGGAAGACAAAGATAATGTTCATAAAATCGCGGGAAACGTTCCGCATTTTGCCTCATTTGAGGAATACGATGATGATCTCAAGATAGCAGGAATCATTACCATTTTGCCGCAATCGCGCGAGGCGATTACTATGTACAATCGACCACAGGGGGGCGATCAATGATGTCTTCACGGCCGCGAGGGGTGATCAGAATTTTGCCACCGCGAGACAATGATAATCCCCTCTTGACAGCGGGATATGATCATATATTGCCGCGATCATGGAAGGTAATAATTATGTCAACACTAAGTGGAAAACAGTCAGAATTTTGCCTCAGTCGCGGGAGACAGTTACGATGTCTACACGGCCGGGAAGGATCATCAGAAGTTTACCGCAATCATGCAAATTCAACCATCAATTTTTTTTTATTTTCCAATTATTTGGCGCCCCCCAAAAGAGCCAATGCCTCGTGCCACGTGCCACGTGCCTCGCGCCCTACCTAGGCACGTGCCTACCGTGCCTATTCGGTAAATCGGCCCTGTGTCTAGTACTAACAAAGCTACGCATGTGTTATCCTAAACTAGTCTAAACTCATCCTGCTACAAGCAGCATTATGTTGTGAAGTGCTAACAAAATTATAAATTTTGAACATGTTCAAGAAAATTGAATATTATTTAAATAATATAATCTGAACAAATACATTCTAATATAAAACCAAGTTAAATTCATGAAATCTTGAACGATACAAAATTTATTAAATCCATTTTCCAATGTGTGCAAAAGAATAACCACCCACTTCATATTTATTAACTTTGTGTCTGCTATGAAAACTAAAACTAATTTTTTTACAGTTGTGGTTGTTCAAACCGAACCCGTTCTCCTTGGACGTGAAGTTTAATGACGCGGGTACAAGGATCATCGCTTCTCGCTTCATGATACAAGCGGTCAATATCAGTGATGGTAACATGGAAAAAGACATGGTCAGAGACTTGCGGAGAATCTGTCAAGAGAGTCATCTGAACGTTAGCGTGTTTCACCCGTACTTTGTTTTCTTTGATCAGGTCAGTTTCTACTCTGTAAGTGTGCTATTTTTGTTGGTTAATCTTGATAAAAGGTATCAGCAAGCAGGTTGGGTATTGCTTTCAATATACTAGAGAAGATATAATTCATAAAGGTAGCAAAAGTATGAATGAACAGTTTGGTGTAGTAGATTTCTACTCTAGTTGGCCACATATTCTTGCAAATTCTTACTCTTTACAGTCTCGCCAATATGATTTTCTAGTTTTAAAATAAAATTTTGCAGACATACACAAGAAACATCTGCAAAATGATTAGATTAGATTAGAAATATCTGCAAGAGACTAGTTAGCAAAATGTATAAAGTTACCCTACAAATTAAGCGGCTAATTTTTGGACGCTGGATTCATTCAATATTAAATATCTGCAAATTGTTTTAGCATTCCCAACATTTTACAATAATAAAACAACTAGTGGAAACTCCTTTTATCGCTATATGATATTTTTGTAAGAAATGGTTTGATGCAATGAATTTTTACTCTGTTTGATGCAAACGTTTGGGTTTTTCTTCTAACTTATAAAAACCTGTTCCAGTTTGAGCTGGTCCGTCCCACTTCCATACAAAGCATGATTGTCGGTGCCACTATCATGATGATTATCTCCTACATCTTCATCCCCAAGTTTGCCTGTTCGCTTTGGGTCGCCTTCTGTATCATATCCATAGAGATTGGAGTTGCCGGATACATGGCCTTGTGGGATGTCAACCTAGACTGCATCTCTATGATAAACCTCATCATGTGCATCGGATACTCCGTAGACTTCACCGCTCACATCTGTTACGCCTATATGTCATCCAAAGAGGAAAGAGTCGAGGATAGAGTGAAAGAGTGCCTTTATTCTCTTGGTCTTCCTATATTCCAAGGATCAGTCAGTACGATTCTCGGAGTAGCCGCTCTTATTTTTGCTCAGAGCTACATATTTCTGGTGTTTTTCAAGATGATTTTCCTCGTTATATTTTTTGGTGCTCTTCATGGAATGTTCCTTCTGCCTGTTCTCTTATCGTGGTTTGGACCTGGGGCATGTTCCCCTAAGAAGTCTGATTTGTCACGAGTAGAAAAAACATTCCCTCATCCCTACTGCATCCCTCATCCCTCACTGCATCCGATGTCTCAGATGAACGGGAACGGAAAGCACTTTGGTGTTCCTCTTCACGGAATGACGGACGCACCCAGGCTCGTAATGTCCACCTACAATGGGAACATCCGAGGGAAATTCATCGTAGAAGGAGAAAAAGACCTCGGACTTGGAACCTCGGGAGAGGACTCTAGTGAATCTAGCTCTTCAAAGTCTCAGCGGCGCAGACAAGAAGTTGAAGACGATGAAGTGCAGCGTAGACGTTACGTAGAAGGTTGGAGAAAGTCGTCAGTACCTAACTCTGGCTCAAACCGTTCTCCGCTGACCTACCACAACGGAGGGTACATGAGTGAAGAGGACTCGCAACCTTGGAGAGGTCATCCAGCGTCAAATCAGAACAGGCCACGAGCACAACACTACTCGCCACACCATGGGCGGCCATACCCTGGGGATGGGAGGTACCCCTAGACTTCAGCAACCCAAAGACTTGTATAAAGTTCCATTATTGACATCTGTGGAATTGTGTGATTTTAGTTTTTAAATGCACTATGCTTTCAAATATCACAACTTTAACTTTTAATAAAATGACAAAAGTAAATCCAGAAACACAAACTAGTTTTAGAAAAACAAGGCGCACAGTAAAATAATTTCTTTGGTTATGTTATAAAATTCTTACTGTTGTAATAAGTCCACCATTGTAAGCTTTATGTTCATTGCTGAGTATCTTTAAAATACTCAGTAGTTTTCTAATTAGTACTTAAAATATTTATAACCTTTTAAAGTGTAAAGTAATGTTGTAGGTCTAAGTATTTTAAATCATAAAAATCCTCAAATGATTCTGTGATAATGCCAACAGGGTTCTCTTAGAACTGACCCTATTAAACTAGACGTTAAAACTATCTTGCATAATTCCATGTATTTATTTTCATTGTATATAATAACATACTTATGATATTGTGAAGTAATGTTTACAGGAATACGTGTTTCATATAACATTTTTGATCCAAACCATTATTTTCATAGCATGTCAAAATCTAGTTTACCATCACATCAATGATATTTTAAGTTAACAACAATTTTTGTGAGAGAGGAACTTCTTTAATAAATATGTCAACTGTAAATACCTTTATAATAATTTTACTATATAATATAATATGTAAATACTCTTTCGTACACATTTATGATGACTAGTCATTTTGTCTCCATAAAGGTAAATAAAACTCATGGTGGTAGGAAAAATGTAGGTGTGCTATTCCTGTCATATTAAAAGCAAACACCACTTCACTTTTAAGAAAAAAATTCACAGATGATACGCGTCCGGTAACCAGACGTGGATTAGGCGTCCGGTAGTGACGTCACCGGGTTGTGGGGTCCCGGAACGCCATTACCACAACGATACGATGTTCGGTCAGCGTTGTTCGTGGTGTAGTGGATAGAGTGCTCGGCTGATATCCAAGAGGTCCCTGGTTCGAAACCCATCGGTTTCTTTAACTTTTTGTCACAGATTTTGCTTTGAATGTAATTTCTTCTTAACTGTACATCTTTTGTTAGAATTTTTGGCATTTATAATTTTATGTTATGAAGAGAATTGAACCTTCATTTGATTTTTTAATTATCAGCAAGTTTGGTTGGTTAGGTTAGGTTATGACAGTAACTGCCGGACGCCTAATCCACGTCCGGTTACCGGACGCGTATCCTCTGCGAAAAAAATTTTAAGAACAATAACAATCAAATCAAAACAAATATACACTATAAGACAGTTACAATCAGGTGACTTTTTGTTTGCAATCTAGGGGAAGTCAGCATACAACGGGAGTATCACACCTATGTTTTTTCCTTCCACAATGGGTATAACTTTTGAATGACGCGTAATAATTTATAGTCTTAAGTAAATATAACTGTCAGCAGATCTATTTGATTGCTATTTTGACTATGGATACTAATGCAAAATTTTTAATGTTACTTAACAAAATATTTTCACTTCAGAATTTACATACTATGTTGCCCTTAGATAATCAGGCTTAATTAAATGAGCCGGATTTAGGAGAAAGCTGGACCATCAAGAGACCATTATAAATAAATTAGTGTATTAGTGACCATTGACAAATTTGGGACAGCTAAGTTTGACATTAATTTGTTTTTTGTTTTTTTTTTTTGTTTTTTTTGTGAGCGGGTGGCAAATGGACATATGGGTGTTCTGTGTTTTGTTTGATTTATCACAACTGAACAGTGCCACCTACTACACAATAATTTTAATAATAATGTATTAACAATTGTATGATAGGTTCAGTAATTAATGTGATGTTTCAAAGTATGTAATTGCATATACAGATTACAAATCAAATGTAATATCAAATAAGTGAGTATTGTAATTTCATATTGGACTGTACTTCAATATGTAATTACATACATACTAGTACATTTAGACTATTATTTTTTTGGGGAAATGTCGAGTCGGACTTTTGTGGGAGTACAGTACCAAATTTCAAATGAATATGAATAAGTTCTAAGTTTAAAAAGTGCAGAGTTTGGGATGGAATAAAGTTACATTTTAAAACTCCTTTTAAGATTTATCAGCAAAAGCATTTTGGGAAACATCACAGAATGGGAACCTTGAATTTTATAATTTTGAACAGTCTAAGTATGTTATATTTTAGTTCCTTAAATAGGTTTAAACAAGGTTAAAATATGCACCTTGGTGGCATTCCCATGCCATTAATAATAATAATAATTTTTTTTTTTATTTGGGCATATTTTAAATTTGTTGGTCCACTTTTATCTACAAAGATCTTTGTAAGTTGATCAATAAACATTAATATATTTCTAAAGCAAACCATGTAAAATTTTCATGTTAGTGTGTTACTAAATATTTGAAATTACTAAGTTATCCGTAGTTACAAAAAAAAACAAAAACAACTTACTAAAAATTTGTATTATTCTTCATCCTTGATGAATTAATAGCAAGTGAAAAACTAAGTAGATGTGTAATGTTAGTAGAGATGGAAGCAAACAATATTATCTAGAGTTTTGTCAAAGTTATTGCTCAATTTTTATTGCAAGTATTTTAAAGCTTTGTAAAATGTAGATGTTATGTGTATTTTTTACAGAATGACAGTAAATTTATTTTACAATAATCTTATCTTGATTTCATTTAATTGATTTACCCTCATACTTTGTGGGATTGGCGATTGCGGTGACATACTGACATATTATTTGAACTTTGAAATTAATAACATGTGATCAAATGAGTGGACGTCACCTGTTTGCCGTGCTAGCTTATTGGACTTCCGGCGCAGGACCTAGGCAATTCTTAGAATCTCTCTTTAGAATTGAATTCTACCAGGCCATGGCCTGGAGTTAAAGGTGCATGCCTGCATGGTTGTGGCTGGTAGCTGGTGGTGAAACCCAGGGCTGTCAAAGCCACAGTTACCCAGTGGCGAGTTCCTATGCATTCCATATTTAGGTCAGTTTATTAGATTGTGATATAATTCATGCCAAATATGTATATGAAGAATACGATATAAAACAACTATAGTTATACCACGGCCACCAGGCCGTGGCCTGATAGAATCGGCAATGTCGTAAGTATAGTGTTGTTTGGCGCCAGACGTCCCATAAGATAGCATTGCAGACAGGTGACACCAGCTCATTAATTCGCGTATTGGTCATTTAAATTTATGAATATAGAAAATGACGTGATTTCTGTTGGGATGCTAGCCTCTTGGACTGCTATTTTATTTCAATGTTTTGTCACTTTTTGTATGTATCCATTTAAATGACATTGGGTTTGGCGAATCCTACCCAGGTTCACTGCTTCAGGGAGACTAATAAAGTGTATTACCAAGGTGGAAGTCCTTCCATACCATGGTAGCAAAATTCCCTATAGGGAAAGTAGCTTTTACCTTAGGTGGCACAGTAAGACCTAGGCCCGGGACCGATTTACTTTTTCATTTTGATGTCCCCAGGGACCAAAAACACCATTTGTTAAAATTTGTATACATGCATATATATATATATATATATATATATATATATATATATATATATATATATACAATTACTGTGTAATTACCCTGTAAAAAATAAATAATTACAAGGTACTGAGTTAGTATGATTTCTTTAATATATATATATATATATATATATATATATATATATACATATATGTGTGTGTGTGTGTGTCAGTGAACACGACAACTTGAGTAGCCTAATTTTTGTCCGATCTTGATGAAATTTGGTTTGAAGGTGTAAGGCAAGATAAACATGAATGAGTTCGCAAACCAGCATGATTGGACCATGTTTCAAGAAAGTGGGATAACCTCACTTTAGTCAGGGGAACACGTTGCCGGCAGAACTCTGCCTTTGGGAACGGATTTTACAGGGGTTTTTATGGGGTAAAAGTTGGGTTTTCTCATTTTTTACCATCAAAACTCAAAATTTCCCTATTTCTCTCTAGCCTTTTAAAAGAGCTAAAAAAAATTCAGTATACCAAAGTGTTTTTGTATGGTTTAATAGTTGCAGAAAAAATAAAAATAAAATGTAATTTGTTTTTAATTCCCATGTTATTCTCATGGAGAATATTGTAATATGTTGTAGTTTGCTTGTTAATTGATATATTTTGATCTAACATACCAAATTTATTTAGTTTATACTTATCTATCCATATTTTACTAAAAAACCACACTTTATTACTTTCCTTTTAGCAGCAAACCAGGTAGGGGAACTCGGGATGGAACGGGATACTTATTGTTTACATTACCATACACAGTATAAAGATGTATAATAAATACGATTTAAAGTTAGAAAACAAAACCTTATTTTATTTTGTACAAAATAGTAACATTATTAAAGTGTAAATTTATTGTTTTCATTTTTTTATTTTAAATAATGTTTACATACTTCTCGTTCCGCCCCACCCATCGGGCAGATTGGGATTTTCCTGTGGGGCAGAATGGGATATGGAGAATTTAATGAGAAAACATGTATAATAAAGTGAGAAAAACAAACTAAAAGAAAACTAAAATGTAAATAGACATTTAGTTTTAGATTCAAATGTTAAGAAAACAAACTTTGTTTTGGTACCTATATCTTTAATTCTGAAAAGTACTCATTTACATGATTATATCACAATATTAAATTCACCAACATGAAAGTAATTCAAAATTCATATCTTCATCTTTTTCACGACCCACTTCAACGGAAATAACCGCTTCAACTGGGCCCTGTTTCATAAAAATACTAGTCTAGTAATTACTAGTCTAGTAAATACTAGTCCCGTATTTACCTGTCCTACTAATTTGTGTTTCATAAATGTTTTTATACCGCTAGTAAATACTAGTGAATTTTACTAGTCACGTGACCAAAACTACTAGTCACGTGACCAACTTTACAAGGTAAACTTTCAAAACAAATTTCTAACCTCAATCACGGGTTTTCAAACCCTTTATAAAGGGTTTTAATTTTGTTTTCATTTGATACAAAAAGTAAATAGTTGTAGAAACGCAGTGTTTTCTTAGCCCAGTCAATAAATGTTTTTAACCGCAACTAAATGGTGGAAAGCTGGATTTTTTATATGTGATAGAACCACATGAGAGGTGTATTTTCCCAAAAGTCCCCACTTCTACCCCTTGAGCTTTCCCCCCCACCCCCCTCCAAACCTAGAAATTGCAGTGTTTTACTTAATTGGTCATAATTCGAATGCTATGTGAGCTATCGAGCTGCAATTTGTTTTGTTTTATTCCTTATTAGTTTTCCTACAACTTTTGTATTTGTAACATTTTTCTAAAACCAATACTTAGGGAGATATAAAATTTAA